ATACTTGCTACTACGGAGTCTGTTTTTTTTGCCTCATGAACAACTTACATAATAGTTTTTATCGTTCGGATGGACCAGTCTGACCTCATAGAAGACCAGTTGTTGCGACTTCTCATGGGCGACGGACCTCACATACCATCAGGAATATCGCTTGCTTTGGAATAAACAAAATCCATCATATCCGTTTATTGTCCGACATTTCATGGTAATCTGCCCCTTTAGAAAACGGTACCCTTTTTGTTTCTAATTTTTTTCGTACTATTCGCGACCTATACTGACTTCACCTCGATCTCCAAAACCATTTATTTTCGGATTTGCAAGAGTCAACGGTAATCGGCATATACTTGAGTTACGAAAATGTGCTCGCGAAACTATGTTTCGACATAATAATAGTTGTTTTTTTTTTTTTTTTTTTTTTTTTTTAATGTGAAAAGTTGTCAAACGAGCAGACGGTTCACCTGATGTTAAGTGAATACCGCTGCCCATAGACATCTGCTACACCCGAGGGTTTGCAGATGCGTTGACAACCTTTTGAAAATTGGGTTTCTTCAAATGTATTGTTATTGCCTCAAGTATCATTCTATATGTTTGAGGCGGTTTCATAATCATGAATAATTGTGATATTGGCTAAAATCCAATATCAACACCATTGGCATTCAAGCATGGCATTTATAGCTTGAATATTGTATGGTTAATTCAAAGGAATTTCGATATGAGAGTAATGTTCATTAATTTTATTGCTTTCATTACTTTTTAGGGGTCGTCAATGATACACATACACATAAACGCGATAAAAGTGGGCTGTTGTATGTTCAACGGAAGCTGCATCGGTTATACTGCTGAAAAACTTTATTGGCCAGCATTTATGCGACAATTCACGCATTGTGTATATCGTATGAATGTACCGAAATTGCACCTCCGCAAAGGGGCGCTTTGTTATGATTTAAGTGCCTTACAATCGGTGCAAGCCGATGCGTTGTGAATAAATTGGCGAAAGGTCCAGTCGATTAGTACTGATTCAACCTCTGGCATCTTAAATGTCATAACGGTCGAAAGAGGCAGCATGAGCATCCAATTCCAGCTGACCGTATTATTGACTGTAATACGATAAGTTCGACGTTGTACGACGGTACAACGTCGCTGTGGTAATTGCGGTGTCGAATGCATGCGGGCGGTTATCGAGATCTTAGCGTTCGGCGTTACAAATGTGCACGTTGGAGGTTTGATCAATAGATTAACCTCCGAACTGTGCAACAGAGGTTTTTAAATAATGGTGGCAACCGACCGAGTGGTACACTTGAAAGAGATCCACAGCATCGGTGGTTTATTCTCGATGCGTTAGCCTCCTTAGGGAGCCATCATCCTCCGTCCCTTATCCCACCTAAGTAGGGTCGGTAAAGCATGGGAATCATACTATTGTTATATATATAGTGGATTTGGCTAGGGGTTTTTTTAACCGGCCTCCTGCCAGACCTCAACCCTCTTTGGGATCAAGCACTCAGATCTGAAACAAACATCTGTGGGTCACACAAATACTTGCCCCTTGTCGGAACCGAACTCAGACCACCCGAACGAGCCAATAGCTTAAAATCTGCGCCACCATAAAAGAGTGTGAACGCCATTCAACTTACTCGTTAGGCGAAGTTTAAAAGCAGAAAATAGTGTTGATACTTCTATTCTAGATAAATACGCTACTGCGTTCGACTCTGGGAGAAATTTGCAAACTTTTCTTAATCTTATGACTTACAGACAGAAACAATAAATAGTAACAAAGATAATGACTTACTAAATAAGCAGTAGTTTTTTAGATTTAAATTAGATAACGTTTAATTTCAAGGCCTATAGTTTTACTTGATACTTTACTTTTTTTAATACACCGTTTTAAAAAAAAGTACACCTACGCAGATTCTAGATCTACAATACCAAAGGGAATCACATCAGTTTCATACACTTTTTGTCATTATAAGCTTGTACACTACGACCGATTTTAATATTTTATGGGGATTTGGTGATAGAATTTTCTCGTAGTGAGTAGTGACCTGTCTCTTGGGCCAGAGGTTGTATGTTCGATCCCCGCTACTGGAAAAATATTGTGCGATGAAGAAAGTGTTTTTCCAATGTCTGGGTGTTTATGTATATATAATACTTATTTGCTTACAAAAGAAAAGTATGTTTATCAGTTACTTAGTAGCCATAATACAAGGGTTGCATAGTTTAGCACTAGACAACGTAGTGTAAAATGTGTCCTAAAATATTTATTTATTAATGTAAAACACCAATTGCTAGTAATAAATTACTACTACGATAGTTAGAATATTGAAACTGGCCATTAGTAAACACGATTGAAAGAGTAAAAGATCTCGGACGGGACCTCCGCTAATAACAAGACTAAAACGTTAACAGTAATCAAAATCAATCAGAAAACCATTCAACAATTAATATCCAGAAGGTTTTAATGAACGTCCGGTCCGTCTTTTATCAGTTCTTGGGTTTCATCGGAGAAGCAATGATGTTCATTCGGAACGTCCGCCGCTAATTAACGACGGGCTTAAAGGGTATCACGTGTAATTGCAATCGGTGGTCTCGATTTTAGACATTTCGGTACGGAAAAAAAAAACTAGGTCGTGGCGCTTTTTCAGTGAGACCCGTAGCGGATGCAACTCCTAATTGGACGGCGTACGTTTCTATTCGGACGAGAGTATTTGATGTTACTCGAAATAAGTTCGTAGCCGGCAGCGGCGCAGCTAACGAAGTACTGTTTCATATATTGGAGTACTGAATACTTTCGTAGTTTTCGTTGACATTCAAAGTCAAAGTCAAAATTTCTTTATTCAACATAGGCTTATTTTAAGCTCTTATTGAACGTCAAAAACTACCACCGGTTCATTAAACTAGACCTGCAAGAGAAGAACCGGCAAGAAACTCTGCGGTCATATATTTATATTTTATTTCTATTTTTTTTAAGTATTTAAGTATACACACAAAAATATTTTTGTAAAATTTAGCAGGAGCCAGGGGACTTACAAGTGCAGAGCAAGAGTCATTTCCACACATCCTTGTCCTCAATGTATTCCTCGACATTATAATAAGCCCTTTCCATTAAGGTGGCTTTTACAAAATGTTTGAAATTATTTAAACTTAATTGTTTGTGGATGTCACCTATTCTATTATATAAGTTAATACATCTCAACATTACACTGCTCGCAGCTAGTTGGGGAAGACCGACTGGCCACGACTTTTAATATCGAGCGACTACTTAACGCCCGCGCAAAGTCTTCGAGCTGGTGGAGGAAGAGGACAATATTCCTGCAGGAGGTGCTAACGTATATTAGTTCGGCCTTGCCTACGAGCTCGGCGAGATCAACACAACGCGTGCACAAGGCACACGCGCGTTTCAGGGAGGCTCTGACCGACCCTAGCTCCCAATTAACACATTACCCGCAGCCACGTCGTACCGCGAACTTGCATGACCAGTGTGGAGAGCTACCTCCGCCAGAATTTGCATCCATTGGATTACGTGTACAGACACTCTAACTACTAAGCAAAGCGGCCGACATCCTCGCCACGCGGAAATGTCGACGTCTCGTCATGGAATTAAAATACCATTTTAGCAATGTCTGATGTTAACTAATGTGATTCCTGTACAGCAATCACATTTTCTCAAATACACACTCATTTTCACTAAATAGCTAATGTACTAAAATGAAACGTCTTTTAATTCATTTCCAATGAAAAACATGAGACTGATCTTTGTGATCCATGTTTTCTACTATTAATCAACTCAACTACTCCATCCTCTAACATAATATTTATGAGCTTTTATATAATGTATATAAGCATTTCATCTTAAATAAGGTGTATAATCCTTTATAAGCTTAACAGTCGAGTTTGTTTGATAATCTCGGTTTTCTTGCTAACACGCGACAGGACTTTTCGGGAAAGAATATTGAAATAGAAATTGATGTCTTCGCTAAAACTTAATTCTTTCACGAGAGGACAAAGAACTGTATAGAAGACAGGAGCAAGTTCACTTTTCTTGCTGCGTTTCTTTCATCCACCTACAGCCTTGAAGGGGCAAGGCGCTGAGGGCGTCTATCCTTTACCTCGGCCTTGCTACATTAGCGGCGGAGATCGGTTACTCGATGGAAACCGCCACAAGTACTTTGACCATTAAAAGAATTACGTCATCACGTTATGACGTTTTTTCTGACAAGCTTACACGTGACGCATTAAACTGTAATATCCCAAATCATAACAGAATCGAATCCCCCGTCTAAGCGCGGTACAACAACAGTACGCCAAAAGTCGCTTTTGGCGTGCAAATCGCTTCGCTACGCGTTTATCTTAAAACTCATTTGAAAAACACTGCGAGGCCGGCGCTTAGATGTAAATAGATCTAAAGATTTTACCTCGCCACCACGTGTAACGAATTACACACAAAGCAATCAATACTGTCACGTTAGGCACATGTTACGGTTATTTGCGATATTAAAAATATGTGGTTTTTTTTTTGCACGTAAAAATATAAGTGATTTTTTTCCGTGCGTCTACCTAGGTAGCGAACCATTCCCAGTACATGTATTTATTAGATTACTATTATTAATATAATGCTATATCAATTCATTTGGAAACAAAATCTATTTAAGGAAAACGTATACGTTATCGGCAACACTATAAATTTGCTCCGATAGCTAGTTCTACCTACTTAATTTATTTCAATGAAGAGTACGTCATAGAATCTGTTGTGTATATGATATCCATGACTAAGGAAATGCACTCAAAAAACTCCCATCAAAAAGGAGCTGGGATTTTTCCCAGCCTCATCTGGACCATCATATTGTTTGTATAAATAATATAATAATAGATTGATAATTATATTAAAATCTTGTAAACATTACCGATTACCACTTATAGCGATAAAAATGACCAAACTCTACTCACTGGTGGCAAGACATCGATGGAAAGACCTGAAGATACCTGATTGACCAGGTAATACATACCTGTTTCTGCTGCAAGAAGCAGTGCATCGCTTGTGTGACGTCGGCGGCGTGCACCGAGTTGTGGTAGGGGTTACTGCTGTGGTACCCCTCCTCGATGAGGCTGAACAGCTTCCAGATCTTCGCCGCGTCCAGCTTGTAGTGCGTTATCAGCCCGTACATGTGGAACAGGTGAACGCACAGCACTGGGAGGCACCGCCCTGTTTGTGAACACCTCTATGCAATCAAAAATGTTAATCGGACACATCGCATAATTAAAATTCCTTCGTAACTGTTCGATCAGCTATCCGATAGCGCTTTTGTCACATGAGCTAGATACGTAGAAGTTATTTGATGATCTTTTAAAACAAAAACGACCTCTTCTACATCGATCACGTTTACTTATTATGAAAATATAAACAGACAAATTTGATATTATTTTGCTTTCGTTAACACTTGTATACATCAAAAAAATATTTAAAAAAATGTTTACATATAAAAGATCTGACGATATACGGAGCGGAAAGGTTTATAAGTAAAATGTAAAAACGATGACGAGAAATTCTGTAACGTATGAAGAATGCCATGAAAGACTTGGTAAAAAAAATCTTCATGATATTGGATCTGGAATTAAATGCTGAATCTTAGCTCTTAAACAAAGACTAAAGCCTTGAATTCGATTTAAATAAAATGTTTATTACGTGTGACTAAATAACCGAAATCTAAACAATAATTTTCTGATCCATGGAAGGCATGTTTCGCTTTTAGATTATTGACGGGAAAAAAAATTAGGGCCGGTCAGGGGGGTCTCCCGTAGGGTGGCCGAATCCGCCTTGCGCACCTGAATATCCTCATTATCAAAGCCCATTAGGACGCTCCAGTGACGTTTATACATAATTAGACTGGCTGTTTCACGTGGCTTCACCCGTGCGTAATTTCGGTTTTACGCATTAGGCGCGGAATTACCCAAGCTTTACGTTCATACGTAAGCGTCCATTTTAATTCGATATAACTCATCGGAGGAGGGAGGTTCTATAATTGTTAAGTTTGTAAAATTTTATATTAAGAAACAACAGTATTACAGTTTGGGAATAATTCTGGACATGTACATTTTAAATCAAGAGCTTTAAATTATCTCTCTTGTATCGATCTTAGTTATTTTACATTCAGATGTAGGTTACAGATAAGTTATACTGAATAGAACCGTAGACAGGCGGGGCTCACAGATAATTACTTTTATAATAATAGACATAAAGCTTAAATGTTATCTCTCCAGTGTACATACGACGCGGGGATCCGATACAAAGACTAACAGAGCTGCTGGAAAAACAAGCACTCATTCTTAACGGTGCAGTCCACCTTTATTGTTTTTCTTTTACGTTGCAGAGGGAAGCTAAGACGTGTAAAGAGTACTTGGAGCACTTTACATTAGCATTCATTTTAGTAGGATAAGTCGCCGCCATTTAGAGTGATTTAAAATGTAATATTACTGTCACGTAACAAAAGTGGAGTCGAAACAGTCTGGTATAGAGCGAGCTTTTACACACTTCCTTTCGAGAAGGCGAGAGTAAGAATAATAATAATAATAATAACAATGTATTTTATTTCCCCTCACAATACATGACAACAAGATACAATATCACAAGTTGGTACAACTTCAGTAACAAGTATAATTTTTAGAAAAAAAAAAACCGACTTCAATCAGAAAATTAAAAACATTGTTAATACCTATAGGAATCCATGATGGCCCTCGATTTCTCTGGGGTGCCATCATCAGATCCGGGTTTCTTTATCATGGTACCACCCTTGGGACATATTCTTTCCGATTAAAAAAAGAATCATCAACATCGGCTCATAAACGACGAAGTTATCCGCGAACACATAAAAAAAATATGTATACGGTCGAAGAAACCTCCTCCTTTTTTGAAGTCGGTTAAAAATAAGTCTCCGTTACTATATATATATATATGCTTAATAATAACACGAAATAGCTGATCTGCTAATCGCACATTAAAAGGGGACGACCTTAACCACCATGAGCCTTCTGCTCGCGTATCCCTCATGTTCCATAAAAAAACCTGATGAGGAACGCTAGCGGCGTACATTATGAACGCATCGATTTTATTTTCCGAATCGGCGGAACGAACGGTCCGTGATCCAGATTCGCGCTGAAGAGCCGCCGCGAATGCTTAATCACAGACCGTAATAAGCGAGCCGTTAATGGAGACAAATTGATGATCAATTGTCCGAGGGGTTGCCAGCGCCAAAAACTCGATGTCAGCCCGCCGTATAACGATTTGTTTCATTACGTTTGGATGACTCGGCAGGGAAACTGCTCAAACGTTTCAATGTGTAATGATCAGATTTTGCTTTTGTCGGCGAACATTCTGGAATCTACGATATTCGAAATTTGAACTCTGGCCGAGAATGTCGAATTTTGAGTGAGAACCTTTTTAGCCGACTTAAAAAAGGAGGAGTTCTATGTTCGGCTGTATGTATTTTTAGTTTTTTCAATAGTTGCGTGATATTAAGCTTAGTTAGGGGTATTGACAAATATTTGCACTCTTCTCAATATCCGCTTATCCCGGCTATTTCTGACAACGTTCATAGAACTTCTCATTTCGTAAAAATATCTGAGTCTTCATATAAATCGTGTCACATCCACTTAAAACATTTATTTTTGTTACATTTAGGTAAACAAACAAACGTACACGATTACATCATTATAATAAGTAATATTTAAGTGAGGCTCCCATACAACAGACATGTATATATATATATAATCTATGGAATCTTCGTATCCGAGTACGACTCCCCCCTTAAAATTTTCACCGGCAACATTTTATGATGGAATTGCAATGTCAGAGTTCAGAGCGGAGTTACATATGTGCAAGAGTCTAAGATGAATTTCGTTATGATCCATTCTGGACCAACGCGAGAGTTTTAAAACGATAAAAACTATCACCGCGATGGTGTCTGCCATTTTCAAAATAAATTTACCATCTTGCATCCTCCACTCAGAAGCATCGAGCATACCCACTTTGGATTACATTTACATAAAACAAAATTACCCGAGAGCAGTTGTTAGTTAAGTTTCCCAGCTGTTTGAATATGTATTTTACTATGGTCGCCATTCATATCGCTCGGTTTGAAACATCCCTTCGTTTACACAAGCAAAAGCAAAAAGTTCATCTGAGTAATGGAGACAAAAACAATCCGGATTCCTGCGCAGATGCTTTATTTAAAAAAACGCAGGGGTACGGATGGCAGCACTTGTGTCAGGACAGCCAAGGTGAGCAATGTCCTCTGGCGTTCCGTTTAGTGACGGGTTCTCTGCAAAGGGGACAAAGGGAGGGCCTCTAATGCCCGCCGTACGCAGCCGAGTGCCGGCAGAGTGCTCCGGGCATATAGACGCCACTGTTTCGCCATCACACTTTGACAAAGGACAACAGAGATGCAAAAACTCCCGTGTATTCAAACCAAATGGCGTACGGCTATCTCCCTATCTGTGATATAGTCCAGGAACAGAGAGTCTGAGTGTCTAACTTCTTTGCCACTCCTCTGGTTTTGCGCGACTACAACTACTATATACCGACAAAAAACTTATGTATTTCACACGTTTTTTGTCGGTATATATTGACATTCGTTAGCTTAATGGTGATATGTAAAACGTAGGCATGGGTCGCAGCATATGGACTTCTACAGCACCTGTGGGGTTTCAGATGATGACAAAAAAGTGGGCTCGGCTACCTCATTCATCCCACGAAACGCGAAAGTATAATAATTCCACATCACGCTGGTCTTCTGTGAGGCCGTGGTGCTTCCCCCGACAAGCAAGCCCATTCGTGCAACAGAGGACCTTCTGCTGCCTTTCCCTACTACAATTAGTCTAAATTTAGTTGCTACAAGAGAAGTAACACTAATGCTATTGCAGAATTGTGTTTAAAATATTTTTTTATAAATGACACAATCAATATAGCTATGTGATAAGATACTTTTTTAAGCTACTATGATAAACAAAATGAGAAGCATAGTAAGCACAAACGTGGAAACATTTCAATGCAACATCAGACGGATAAGCCGAATTCGGCGGTCGATTTAAGGAATGGATGACTACACTCCTTTACGTACCCAGTACATTTATGTCATATAAAGTCTTCACAGTTTTATATTAAGTGATGTACATTATCTAATTCAAATGTCGTGAAAACGTAGCATTAAAAATAAATAAAGGCTAGATCTGCTTCTAAAAGGAAAACAAATGATAAACAATAGAAAGTTAGAAAGAAATTTAAACAGTTATCGAAATGTTAAGCGAAATGTATACAAACATATCAAAAGCATTTACAACAAACTAACGTGAGCTAATGTAAATTTGAAAGTCATGCGCGAGTCGCCAGACCGGATTGTGGAACACATTTCAAACATCGCATACATGCATGTGGTTAAGTTCCTGTTTAACTTTAATTAAGCTCGGTTAGAGGTTAAATAACAAAGTAAACTATGTTCACAGCCGGTTCACGTCAAAGGTTCGAAATTAAACAGCCCGCTGGGTCTGACTCGAATGCACCTTTCGCATTTCATTGCTGTGTTAGCGCCACATGACAGTATTTGCTGTTGTGTGAATGCGCAGCAGAGATTGCTTTCAAATAATGCAACGGAGATACAGAGACAGAGGTCCTTCTCAGGTCAGTGGCTTTTCTTTCAGAATCAAGATATTTGAATTTGAGATAATTAGAGTAGAATAGAACTAATGTGGAAGTAGAATTAAATCGCGCCTTTAATCGGGTGAGCATAAAAGGGTCGTTCGAACATTTCTGTACATCGGAACTCACGGGAGATTTTTGCGGGAAACAAAAAATAAAGAGTTGAAGTTTTATAGAAGAGAAGCTGACCTTGTTAAAAAATTTTGACGGTAACGTTAAATCAGTGAAAAAGTTCATCGGAAAATGATAATCCGTCCAATCTGAACACTGACTAATTGATCCCACTACAAACACTGCTTAGTTCGGTAAGTTATAATTTGGACGGTGCGAACGGAAAGTTTTGTTCCTCAAACATTCAATAAGTTAGGTTAGGTTATAAGTAAGAGAGCAATGCCCACTATATTACCTAATGGTAAGTGGTGATCACTTCTTTGTTTTTGAAGTAACAAGAACGTAAAATGAGGAAATCAAACATGTTCAGATCATCAGCTCTCGTAAAGTGAAAAGTGAAAGTGTAAAGTGCATTCAGAAAAAAAAAAACCTCGTGAATTACGTCGTGAGTTAGGAAAGCACGGGGCTGAGTCAAACCAACGCTAAGGCGCAACCGGTGCCCCTTTGTCCGGCACATTTTGGGAATAGTCGCAGTGGCTAAAACTATCTCGAGATGGACCGTAAGCCTATTGTTCTACAGGTACAATAGGCTTACGGTCCATCGTAGCTACGTGGTCGTAGCGTGCCGTCACGCGGCGCTCACCGCTAAGCAAATGCAAATACACGCCATCAGCGCTATTGTGATTCAAAACCGCGTCTGCCGTTCGAATGCCGCGTGTAATATCTGTGTTCTCAACATAGACAAAAACTAGTTTATCCTTTCGGCAATTTGCATACGCCATTGTCAACGATTTGAGGACTGTTTTGCATTAGCCCAATGCTGGAGTGTATCGGGGTAGCATCGCGGCTTCGTACGCTTCCACGTGCCTTCGAGTTGATTCCATTTAACATATCGATTGGCGAATGGGCAAACTTGAAATATCAAGCTATTATAGGACACGATGTTAAAGCTCGTTTATTATTTTTGATACACAGTAAATTGTAATAATTATGACGTAAACATTAAACACAGACGAACTGAGAATCGGCCATTGTAACTGATGGCTACTTG